AATATCTTTATTAATGATCTGGAGGATGGTATGGACTGCACTCTCAGCAAGTTTGCAGATGACACTAAACTAGGAGGCGTGGTAGATACACTAGAGGGTAGGGATCGGATACAGAGGGACCTAGACAAATTAGAGGATTGGGCCAAAAAAAACCTGATGAGGTTCAACAAGGACAAGTGCAGAGTCCTGCACTTAGGACGGAAGAATCCCATGCACTGCTACAGACTAGGGACCGAATGGCTAGGTAGCAGTTCTGCAGAAAAGGACCTAGGGGTCACAGTGGACGAGAAGCTGGATATGAGTCAACAGTGTGCTCTTGTTGCCAAGAAGGCTAACGGCATTTTGGGCTGTATAAGTAGGGGCATTGCCAGCAGATCGAGGGACGTGATCATTCCCCTTTATTCGACATTGGTGAAGCCTCAGCTGGAGTACTGTGTCCAGTTTTGGTCCCCACACTACAAGAAGGATGTGGAAAAATTGGAAAGAGTCCAGCGGAGGGCAACAAAAATGATTAGGGGTCTGGAGCACATGACTTATGAGGAGAGGCTGAGGGAACTGGGATTGTTTAGTCTGAAGAAGAGAAGAATGAGGGGGGATTTGATAGCAGCCTTCAACTACCTGAAGGGGGGTTCCAAAGAGGATGGAGTTCGGCTGTTCTCAGTGGTGGCAGATGACAGAACAAGGAGCAATGGTCTCAAGTTGCAGTGGGGGAGGTCCAGGTTGGATATTAGGAAACACTATTTCACTAGGAGGGTGGTGAAGCACTGGAATGCGTTACCTAGGGAGGTGGTGGAGTCTCCTTCCTTGGAGGTTTTTAAGGCCCGGCTTGACAAAGCCCTGGCTGGGATGATTTAGTTGGGAATTGGTCCTGCTTTGAGCAGGGGGTTGGACTAGATGACCTCTTGAGGTCCCTTCCAACCCTGATATTCTATGATTCTATGAGTGCACACACCCCAAACAGCCCTCTACACAACTCTCACACAGTGCACACACCTCCACACAATTAATACGGAGCATACAACCACAATATCCTCCTATACAACTCTCACCCCCCGCACCCAAACCACAGAGCCCCTACACAACACAGGCACCCACAATGGCAACACAAACAGTTGTGCACCCGCAGCACACACACAACACAGCACAATATGCCTGAACGTCTACACAACTCACACAGCCCCCACCCAACACAGGCACCTACAAAACCCACCCTCCACAACTTGCACAACACAGGCACCCGTGCACCCACATTCACAGTCACACAGCATGAAATCCAGTGCCCAGACGGAGCCCAACACGCACCCCCACTCAGAATACGCCACTGTGTATGGACAACACACAATCCCATGGTCCCATGAGACAGGCATCCCACATGACTCACATGCACCACAACACGTGCACCCCCACTGCACACCCCATCCCCACAACAGCTACCCCCACACAAAACACACAACCCCTGTGCCCCCCCACACCCCTGTAAGAAATGCACAACACAGACCCAAGGACCCACAACCCCGCCCCCCGCACCACAAAACACAGGTACCCACCCATATATGACACACACCAAGTTTCCAGAGTCCCAGACTGCGGGCTGATTGCCCTGATCCCGGAGCGGGGGCAGCTCTGTAGAGAGGTGACGGGGGACTTGCGGGAAGGGGGCTACCTGGGGTGGATAAGGAGGCGCAGGGGTACAGGCCCAGGGGGATGGAGGGTGGGAGGGCGGGGGAGCAGTTGGCCGGTTCTCTGGCCTGATTCGGAGCTCAAGGCTGCTGGGTGGTCCTGCGGGGGGGTCGGGGGGAAGCCGTGTGTGTGTGGGGAGTGCATGTAGGAAGGTCATGCGGTGTGTGCGGGGAGGGTCATGTGGTTGGGGAGGGCAGGTTGTGCAGGATGGGAGGGGCATGTGATGTGGGGGGTGCACATGGTGTGTGGGCAGAGCTTGTGCAGCGTGTGTGTGGGGGGGG